AGATGTGTATAAGAGAAAAAGTATATTCTCTTCCAACAATAACTTCGGGTGCTATGTAAGGAAGATTTCCATATATACTTGTTGAAGATTTATCAGCAGGTCCACAAAATCCAAGATCACTAACACACCAAGAATTATTAAGTTGAGAATATAATATATTTCCAGAATGTAAATCTCTATGAATTGCTTCCTCATCATGAATATAACTAAGTGCATGAATTATATCATAAGTAATATTGATTCTCTTTTTCCATGTAAGTTGATTATGATTTTGTTGTAAATATTTTCTTAAATCCATATCCCTTTTCATCATTACAAGCATATAATTTCCATTTGATGGATTTTGAGTTAAACCATAACATCGAACAACAACCGCCCATTTATTACTTATAGTTAAATGTGATTTAGCCTAAAAGGCAATAATTTGTAAAAATGCTCATATTAATACAAAGTCTGCATAATTTTATATGATAAATTTAGAATATAATTATACAAACCTCTTCAAACCAACTTTGATTTGCACTTTCAACACTTTCTAACGTTTTGAGTACTACTTCTGTCACCATGTTTTGCATTCCAGATATTTCACCTCTTTTTAATTGTTTTTTTTCATAATCCCATTCATCATATCTTCCATTAATCCAACTTGCTGTATAAATTTCTGAGAATCCACCTTTTGTTAAATATCTAATATTTTTTAAATTACTATATGGTATCCATTCAACTATTACATTTGGTCTAGTTGTTTCCAATTGACATTTCTGTATTAAATTATCAATATCATCATTCCCAGATGTCCAATTTGAAAAATTTTCTTTTAAATAATTTCGGATACAATATTCGCAGTATAATGTGGCTAAACATTCTTGGTTACAATTTTCACAAATTCTTTTTGTACCATCATTATTTATAACTTTATTTCGATCATAATTTTTAGTTATCCATCTTATTGCATAAGTTTTTTCATCATTTGTAAGAATTTTATCAGCAAGGACTGTTTGTTTTTTAAATTCAAATTGTTTGTGTATATCATTGTAAATATTATTATCTGTTAATGTTGTTATTCTATTAATTGTTGTACCAATTAATTCATATCGAAGAGTGGACATAATATAATCAATAAGAAAGAAAGAAAGAAAGAATTATTTTAAGTTTGTTCATTCCGAACTCCGTGATAAATTAATAAAATGCAATGTTGATCAAACTTCATGTTGTGCCAGTTTTACCTTTCATAACCAAAAAAAGAAATATTATCGTTGATCAAAAGGTTACATTTTGCAAATACTTCAATAAGATCACGTGACTAAAATGGGATGTGCCGTTTTAGGGATCCTTAACCTGTACCCCGGGTATATGATATTATCCTGTTCCCCCACTTTCTTAAATATGATTGGCTCAAAATCGAGCCACAAAATTTGTGTAACTTTATCTTAGAAAATATTTTTCATTTCGCAAAAAAAATAGGAACGAAAGAAAGCAATAACACATAAAATTAAAAAGAAAAAAACTTTCAAATATTTCTTTGACATGTATATTTCAGTTTATAATGATTTTATTTGTACTTTATTAAATTTTAATAAACAAACATAGATTATACTTTTAATTTTTAAATTACGTGACATAATATCTACACGAAATATAACAAAAATTAAGAATAACTTCATGAATATTCAAATAACTTGATGAAAATTAATATTTAAATAGTCTCTCATACCCGTAAAATAGCCTTTGAAAACGCGTTCGCTTTGGTTAAGTTGTAACTATATAATAAAGTTAAAAAACAGGGGCGGCACAGTTTTTAATTTCAAAAAACTCCGGTAAACTTCAACTAGTACCAAGTATATATTTAAATAGTTTAATACCATTATAGCTGCTCAAACAATTTTATTTAAAAAGAGAAAAGGGGAAAGGGGAAAGAAAAAGCGAGAGAAAGTGTACTGTATATTATCGTTATTGATAAACAAATAAATTAGTATATGACGTAAGAGGGGTACAGGATAAGAGTGTATACCCCTAGGAACAGGTTAAGATTCCCGACCGTTTTAACCGTCACCGTTCACGTGACTGCCGCGTTCACGTTGTTTATAATTATCTCAGCGACATGAGTGGTATGATGCTTATTTGTCACCCCCTGTAAGTGTATGCAAATTGTTTGAATGCAAAAGGCTGATGTCTAGACATAATGTCGGTTATATGTAGGATGATGTATGTACATGATGTCCAGACATCATGCTAAATATATTAAATTTTTATTTATGGTAAATTTACCGATTTTCTGTGAATTTTTAAATTATATGCCCATTTCTTTTTTCTTAAAAATAAATAAATAAATAAATAAAATCTTTTTTTTAATAAAATAAAATAGAATAGAATAAGAATAAATTAAAAATTAAATAAATAAATAAATATAAAAATAGTTACATAAAAACGTTTTTTATTTTGACTTTTTTAATTAAAAAAAAAGCGAATTTTTATTCTTTTTAATGGAAATGGCAGGTTCGGCGTTTTTAATTAAAAAACGTTTTTTTAAGTTTCTTTCCCTATAAAAAATTTTTCAGAAAATGATCACGTGACGTGTCTGAGCAGCAAATCCAATTATTTCAACTATAACAAGTGAAACCTTTAATTTCTTAGCTTCTCCAATCTAATAGTCAGTATTTGTTATTCAGTTTCTGTATAGCCAATTATTTTTCAATACCATTTAAATAACAATTTGGTTAGAAAAATATATCAAAAAAGATATGATAATATAAATCTTTGCTATTAGTTAGCTTGAATTTCTGAGCTTATAAAGAAAAAGTCATATATAACAAGTTAACATTAAACATGGCAGGGAGCTATAGTCATAGTATAATTAGAACTGTAATAATTCTGACTTTTTTTTTAATTAAGTTGGTTTATACTACCATACAGTATCATAATTATTATGATAAATAGTTTTTAAGATTTAAAGAGAATTTCTAAATTTTAACTGGTGGAAAAATTACTGGTAGATCATGTGATTGTGTAT